GCCCTTGATCAAAATGCCGTGCATGGTTTTCTACCGCTGAATAGGACCCCTTCAATCATTCTAGAATGGGTGAAATCCGCGATAAGGTGATGTGACGTGACGTCATGCTTCTGGTGCGCCGCGTCGGTGACGGCCCCGACGGGACGGGGCGAGAAGAATGCCGACAGGAGAAGGAGGAGCAAGGAAAGTGGGGTAATCGGCGGGCGAAGGGTAAATGAAGGCAAATGGCAAAACAATGGGCAGGGGGCGAGGATAGGGGGCGAGCGACATGAAGAAACGGCGCGGAGCGTTTAAAGGCGACACGCGTGTCGTACAAGCCGGCGGAATCTTGATGAAACTCAAACAGAAAGAGCGCGCAGGTCGCGGAAATTGACTTAACCGACTGTGAAAAATGATAATGATTAATAGCCGCGCGGAATGATTAATGAAAAGCATTAATGATAAGCGTCGCGTCAGTGGAGCCGACCGGGACGGGGAAAACTAGCGAAAAGAGGAGAAAATGGTGGGAGGAGGGGGGACGAGAGTGACGGAGTGATGCCGGCTGATCCCAATTAGCGGTCGCGAAACGTGCTGCCGGTACTGCCGGAGATCGGGCGACTGGATAGACGCCGAGACTGCATCTCCGTCTCCGGCTAGGCCGGGGGAGCAAGGTGTGTGTGCTGCCAGGCCGGGCTCGAACATCTCATAGGTGTGTGCAGATATTGGAAAGTGGCAGGGGATCGTGAGAACCAGAACATCTCGGTCAGTGTAACCCCACCGCCGCTCCCGCCCCCGCGCCCACCCTCGCCGGCCCTCCCTGGCCCCTCCCCCTTCGCGCCCACCCCCCATCCCCGTTCCGATGCCACCGCCGAACCGCGCTCCGCTCGCGCACCGCACCGCGTGCCGCGGACCATCCGCATGCCCACTTGTTCCATGCAAAGACAGTTGATTTTAAAGACCATGTACCAGATCCAAAGCTGCCACGCTACGGGAAAACGTCGTATGTGTATTCGAATGATAAAAAATTGCCTCTCAAAAATTATTTATTTTGGAAGAACTTTATGCATATTTTCAGACGGTATAGATCAAATCACGAACAAAATTCTTTAAAAAATTGGGGGAAACAATTTTCAAATTTCCCTGAAAATTTTTAATTTTTCGAAAGAGATATGGCATCGCTTAACGGGGCATGCGGCGTTCTTCCTTAGCACGTCAGAAAGAAGGACCCTCCATTAACCTATTAACGACAGGTGGAAATTTTTACTTTCGAAGATTCATCAAATCAATAGACTGATTTAGTGACTATATGTTATTCGATAAAATATCATACTCAGTGATTCAAACTAAAACAAATCCATAGCCTCATGCAAATTCCGAGTGCATTATATTAATTCATTACAATTTAGTCATTGAAAGATCATAAATCAAGTAAGGACTTATTAAGCCCGAGAAATTTCGATTACAAAAAACACTTAGACGCATTTTACCACCATGGCGCGAAAGGCGCAAATCAGAGACAAGGTTATGTGTTTGTTTACATTTAAATTATGACGTAGCCACTGAATCAGTCTATTATTGGACAGCAACAATGAGCTGTTGACCAACCTACTAGATGAATGATGAACTTCGGATGACGTAATGCGTCAACAAGTTTTATCAAACCTCGGCTTGTTTAGAGGACGAAATTCTCAACACATTATTAAGCATCCACCCATTGCCTGTTGGAGTCCCGAAAGTAAGAGAACCTGCGTCATGGGTGCATTACAAGAGGAAGAAAGAGGCACAGGACTCATTTACGTAACGCCAAAATCGGGGTGTAGCACCGATTTGTCAAAATTCTAGAATTCACGTTTGTGGATATGCAATTTTATCTACTTGGAAGAAGCAGTCACGTCAAGCGTTTCGGCATATCTAACTTTTCTGCCATGCGTTAAAGTCTCTGAGTAAGTGGAAAAGAGAGCAAGTTCTTATTCATTTTGTTGATGTGCAAGTTCACCTAATTCTTAGTCAAAATAGTTGTATCACCTGTTTAGCATTATCTAACTTTTCTACTCGTGCGTTAAGGTCTCCGATTCAGCGGTAAGGAAGCCAAGTTCTCCTTCGGCGTGACTTGAAAGCTTTGCGTAATTCTTTCAGGGGGATGCACACGTGTGTTACGAGAGGGGTTGGAGTCCTAAGCTTCTATTCTCAGCGTTAGGTAATTTATCACCGGTCTCTAACTAAATAGAAATGTTTAAAAAATAATACGGCAATTTTTATTTCAATGCGAGATGCCAGAGAAAGTTCGTTTGATTGCATTTATTCACGCACAGTTTCTGAAATTGAAAGAATTTTTGACAATTCCTTTGCGAGGGTAGGCTACCAGCTGCTATTTGATTTAATCTTCTGAATGGAGGCATTATATCGACTATCAGACTTTATGGTTCTAGTTAGTTCAATAGGAAGGTTATTCTATCGTGCTGCGGAAAACACCGTATGAGTCTTCAGACGTTGCCAAATTACCTTTGACGAATCGTGCATTTTCAAGTTAATTTATAGTAATTTCTCTTCCTGTTTTTCAGAGAATACTGTCCCTAGTTTTATCTAAAATACCCGAGAAATTCAAGGAAAAATATTCATAACATTCTTCAAAAATAAATATTTTCTAAAACGTAATTTGGCATCATTCAAATCCTCATATACGGCGTTCTCCCTTGACACGGATGCACTGCAGTGCATTTCGGTAACATGTAGTAGAAGTAGAATAAAATTGTAAGTAAAGTAAGGAATAATAACAAAGATGCGTAACTGTCTTTAGTGGAGTCCAACGTAGCCGATAAAAACTGAACGAGTGAGTAATATTTCCTCAGCTTGAACGTTTCTAGGCTGATATGGCCGTACTTATGCTAAAAGGAACTATGTACGTAGAGTTTGCGTGCGACATAGGTCCTTTTAGCATAAATACGTCCACATGAGTCTTTTGATGGGCGTTAACAGGGAGGGTCTTCAAGACCACGTTAAGGGCACTTATAGACCAGACATGTGTTGGACGAGAACTCACGTTCGTAACTGTTTCAGATTTCATAACGATTAACGTACACATTATTGAGATACGGTGGTAGTTTTATGATTCATATGCGAGATGCCGGCAATCGGCCCGAAAGCATAAAGTTGAGCAATGCGTACATTAACACGGTTGTTGTACGAAGCGTCCAATTTTAAGACACTTTCGCGAAATTCACTCGACAACGCGAACGCACCGCGCGAAAGCGTCCCGCCCCTCCTTGCACCGCCTTTCATCTCGGAGTCTCGCAGATGCAACAGTCCGGTCAAGACTCGTATTAAAAGTAGCGAAATAAATCAGTCGAGCTCTCCTCTTCTTTCCCAAATAATTTATAACCCCGTACAAGGAGGAGCTCTTAGTCTTAAAGACATGCTTAAATACGTAAATTATGATAAATTGTATTCTTATCGGCGACTCTGATCTGGAAAATTAAACGGAGATGCGCTCCTACGGGTAGTGTGCCATAAATTCTTCCTCCTGGTTTTATTTTGCAACAAATAAGTGTTCCGAGGCTCAATATCAACAAGCATTAGCACTTAAAAGCAGGCCTCTATCTGTCCAACCGGACGAGCGACCTGCATCGTATTAACATACGGACAATCACATAAGAATATACTCCTTATAAATGTGCATTTTCAATTATTTTAAGGAATCGTGTGTGGAGCTAAATCAAATTTGCATTCATTTTAAGAAAATCAGCTTCGAAGTCACTCAGGACGGAGAGTGGATACCTCCATCGCTGGTTTAGTGCCGTGTTCGCCATTTCGCCATTCCTACTTGAACTCTTTTACTTTATCGATCGGAGTAAATGAAGATAGTCAATGACCCGTTTATAGTATTCATTGATTCATCGGGATGATCTTGCTGACACAGAGCGCACGCTTTTGTTTATTGCTGCGCTTACAAGATGATCACTGCTCTGAATGCCTCACTTGCTGACCCTATAAAATTAATGTCCTCATCCTGATTATAATTCCGGTTTCGAAATCACTCTTTCCTACTTTACAGCAAGAGATTCTCTGAGCAGTGGGTACTTTAAAAACTTTTTACGTCTGAACTACTCACTGTGTCATGAGTGTGTAGCAGAGAGTAGTAGAGGCAAGCCATTGTTTTAAGGTGATGAAAAAAACGCCGATTTTCATTTCGCGTGAAAACCCCTAAATTTCAATGAATGATTCACTTCTCTGACTCAAAAAATTGATTACTTTCAGTGAAACTGTCATTATTGTGCATGCTCAGCGTTAATTATAGCTTTTTATCCATGGGACTCCACGCGGAAAAAAAATAATATAACGAAAAAAGTAAAAAAAAAACAAGAAAAGGAGCAAAGAAATAAAGGTCACAAATCAACAACCAAAAAGGCAAATATCTTAAATGGAAATTCTGCTTGAGTTTTTAGTGCTGACTCCAAATTACAAATGTCTGACCATTTTTCTCCATCTTTAAATGAAACTCTGGAAAATCGCGAAAAGATCAAATTTTCCTTAAACGAAATTCGGTGCAAGGCGGTATATTTTGGCCTAGTCTGCGGATTGAAGGTGTTTTTTTATGGCCTTTTTTAGTTGCCTCTGAATATGCAAGTTTATGAATACTCACAGAAGTTTCTTGTTCCACACAAATAGTGCAGGATTTTATAGAACAATTTTGCATGCCGCGCATTTTTTACTCTCTGTGAAAATCTCATATCCAAATGTTTTTTTGACTCTTTTAAACGTTTTAATAATTGTATTCACTGATTTTATAACAATATTTAAACTTAGGGACAGATCATCTGAACAGGACTTCAAATTAGCTGAAGCTAACCTCCCTCCACTTAATCGGTGATTTGATCTTCCTCTGTCCAACAACATGCCCTAAGACATTTTCTTCTTCACCTTTTTACAGTGTAGCTGCGAAATTGTTTTTGTTCATCTACTCTTTTAGAAAAAGAAGGGAAAAATGGACTAACTAACCGTAAATTTTCGTTTGTTTGTTTCAGTCGTTCTTTGGGCGTACATACAACAACCTAAATGCGATCTCAGAGTGCAAGAACAACGGCGAATGCATCATCAACAAAAAGAACAGGACGTCATGCAAGGCGTGTCGGCTGCGGAAATGTCTGCAAGTTGGCATGTCCAAGAGTGGTTCTAGGTACGGTCGTAGGTCGAATTGGTTCAAAATTCACTGTCTGCTGCAGGAGCAAGGATCAGCCGGCGGTGCAGCTCTCGGAGCCGGGCTCCTGGGCGAGAACGGGCTCAACAGCGCACTCTACCCCTTCCACTCGGCCAACTTCCTGACAACGGACAAATACGTCCAAGCCAATCTCAACGGCTACACGCCGCAGTTCTTCGATACCACCAGCAACAACAATAACAACAGTAGTAGTATCAACAACAACAATAACAACACGTTTAGCAAATCCAGTCTCAATAACAACAATAGCAATAGCAATAGCAATAACAACAACCAAATCAAGGGGAAGAAGTCTAGTAAACAGGAAGAGGACGGGCGGAAGTCTTCCGATTCCACGGGTTCGTCGGTTACCGAGGATGAATCTAGATCGGCCAGCGCTTCTTCCGTCTTCCGTTCCCACCACACTCCCTCGCCCCTCAGCGAGAAAGACTACCTAAGCCAGAAGAAGTTCTCGGTGGCCATGCCGCCCTTAAGCTCTAGTTCTCCTCTAGCCATGAGCGGATCCAAAAGCCTACCCTTCAGCTCACCCATTAGTAGTCATTTCCTAATTCCTTACATCTCACCTCACCATCGACCCCACCCTCTACTGCCTTTCTCGGCCACGCGGCCTGGCCTGACGCCTACCTCGGCAGGGAGCCTTCTGTACTTAGATCCTCTATCAAATGCGGCTCCCTGGTCCGTTCGGAGCGGGGGCGACCTACTTCTATGCAGTCCTGCTCCTGGAGGTGTTGCCGTCGAACAGGAGCGGCCCATAGATTTGTCCGTCAAATCATCCCCAACGACTTCACCCCTCCAAACTGTTCCTTCACCCGCGTCCCCGGTCAAAGACGAATCCGACGACGAGTCCTTGGACGTGATCAAACCAGTTCCGTCTCCGCTAGATCTAACTAATAAGGCACCTACCGCCATATCGAATCCGATCACGTCTTTAGACTAATCAAAAACTTCATGAGACCTTAAAACAGGTAGTCAGATTGGGTCTCATGGAATATCTTTTGATACTTAATTGTGATAATTTTTCTTGAGCTGATTAAGAGAGCAAGACTTGGTAATATAAGACGTTTCTTTCTTCATCGGTCGGGGCTTTCTCAGAGCGTCCAGCGCCAGACTGAACGATTCTCTGCTTGTAAGTAAACATCACAGAGAATATCCCTTACTTGAAGGGCCTTAGACTCCTATTTTATTTGTTTTCATGTTTGTTTGTTAGCTAAATTGTTGGTTCCAAATGCTAAAATTCTTACGATCATGTTGTGAGGGTCTCGTAAACGTACCTTTAATTGTTACATTCCGTTCACTTTAAACAAAAAAACCAGGCAAAAAATGTATTATTTTAACATATTTCCTGTTGTGAATTCATTTTAGAGGGAAGATTTTCAATCTCTTCTTTGAAAAATGGTCATGTTTCCTATTCCCTGGAGACGGAGAAAAGCATGATGAGAATCTTTTTGGTTCTCTATCTCCAGAAAGTAATTATCTTTCTCTTTTGCACATAATTTCTGTTAATTTGTCAAACTTTGTTACACAACTTTTTATACAACAAGCTAAAAACATTAGAATAAAAGAACAACATATTTGTCAGAGTTATAACTACTGATATCCAAATCAGATTAATGATGTTGATTCTCATTGAAGATGTAATTGAAATTTCTAAAAAATTTTACGGAATGTTCAGTTGATTTTCCGCCTACTTCAACTTTCAAGTCTTTCCCATCAATATTTTCTGAAAATTATGCTCAAGTTCTAATTTTTTTATTGGTGAACAGTTATTTTTACTTTCCTTGTATGAAGTTTGCTCAAGCAGTGTAAGGATTTACGAAGCTCATCCTAATTTTGATGACGTCATAGGATTCATATCTTTTCATGTAAAAGGGAAACCGGTGCAGGACATATCGAAATCCACCTTAAATAAAGGAGTAGTTGACTTTTTTCAACCTCTTGATTTTTCAATTTGATTGAGCTCCTTAACTTGATTCAACTTTTTAATTTTATAATTAAAATACAAAAGGATATATCATAAGTTGGTAATTAAAAAAAGAAAGAAAAAAAGTTTGTTGTTTCTAGAAAATAAATTAATCGGCGTCAATTACAAAACATGTAAATTTAAGATTTGTATATTTGTGTGAGTTTTATGCGTAGAAATTTGCTATTTTTCCTTTTAGAACAATTGTGTACATTTTTAAGCCAAAGACATTTTAAATTAATGGTTTAAATCTTTTAAATTCTCACGAATAAAGTTTTTGTTATTTTTTCATACGAGTTATTGAAATAAAGACTGTATTAATGATTGATTTCGATTTTTTTTCATTGTTTATCCCAGATAGAGTAATGTCGGAATAATCGAAGTCCAATATATAGTTAAGGGCTAAAGAACTTTACTATATTCTCACCGACTTGAGATCTCACAGGAGACCATGCGGCGGCTCGTTTGCCTACGATAACTTAAATACCCGGTATCATGGCCTTTCAAGTTCATAAGTACTTGGCTGAGGGCCCATCAAGTACGTAAGGCATTATGATCGACTTTTTGACCCCCCACCCCCTTGTAAGGCACTTTGAAGACAACCTCTGACCCCCCTTTTGAATTACGTCAGATTGACTTGACACCTTTAATACCACCAATTTTTAGAAGATAACGGAGAGAGTCTGAAAAGTACTGGGAAAACAATATAATTTGTTTTTAAGTAAACTCAGGTCCCCTCCTCTTCTCACGGTGCTACTAAAAAGGCTCCTTTGATGTTAATCCACATCGTACACACATACCGTTCTCTTACTAAGTAAGTCAAAGACAATTCAGATGGCTCGATTCTTCCGAAATTGTCGGTCACGCTTCTTTAGCTATTAACAACAGAAATGACAATGTAATGTTCCAAAAACAAACACAAGAAAATTCGTGAACGAAGTTTAAAGCTCAAATTTTCTTGGGCCATTCAGGGGAACATTGAACAATTTGCCGTTAAAATCACTTTCAATTTGACTCCGCAAAAATTGCTCTGCTCCTAAAATTTTTTCCTCGTCAACCAACTAGAGGGCCCTCTTGCCGGTGGATGACACGTACCCATACTACCATACTAAGGAAAAACTTTGTTAGGAACCTTCAGGCGTCGCCAAATTTTATTTGATAAGATACGAATTTCCTGCTAAACTTATTAATATTTGTCTTCCATTCTTTTAGACAATTTTGTTCGTAATTTTACCTAAAGTTCTTGAAATTTCCAGGAATTACGAATATATTCATAACTTTCTCCAAAAATAAACGTTTTATCGAAGGAAATTTGGCAACTCTCGAATGTCCACACGGTGTTCTTCCTTAGCACGGCAGTATATGATATGGCGAAGATGTATGATTATTTATGAAAAAGTTACAGAGTTTTCACAATGATGTCTCTTACTCGGAATATTTGCTAGCAGACGACCACACCAGAGGAAATGGTTTGATGCGTAGCTAAAGTTAGAGCAGAACAAACTTAAAAAAAACTATGAACCTAAGATTAGTGTATTTGAAGAGAGAATAATTGAACAGAAATGTCGTGAAAAATTCCACATGTATAAAACGTTGCGTGGGATACACACAAATGGTAGCTTTAATCCCAGACGGGAAGAGGTGACTCTAACGCAATGTCAGTTCGCCTTCAACGCATAGTGTAGGCAACACGAGCGTCCATGTGGCCGAATAGTAGTATCACCGTCAATGTCATGATCATTCTCTCTTTTTTTTCTGTATATTATTTTATTGTGATCTTCTGGCACGATAATAAATCAAATTGTTATTAAATATTAAATGAAAGCTAACTAGAGCAAAATCAGTCTCAGAAACAGAGGCATATTTGGCCTGAAAAAACAAATATTTACACCCTCATTCTAAAAACTTGAGGTAACTATGTGAGGAATTTAAATCGGATCAAAACAATGGTAAGCGAATATTATATAGCGCTTTGGCGTTAGAGCCTTTTTGACAATGACTGAACTCTCCAGATGTTTTTTACGCATTAAATCACGTTTTTTGCTTGCCACTTAAAAACTAGATGCATCTGTTCCATTATTAAGGCATAGAGGCATCCAGTTGTTGAAATGATGTCTGAAAGACCCATGACAAAGTGATACGAAGCGTCTCTTGTGAATTGGGCCGCAAGCAGTCAAGAAAAGCCTCCTTTAGTTGTATATAATATGGATGTATTTCTGCCAAACAGAACTAGGTGCATTAAGACATGAGCCCTGAGACCCGTAAGAATATATGCATAACAGGGCTCACGTCATAATGCACATAGTTCCGTTTGGCAGGAATACGTCCATATAATGATAACTAAGAATAAATCACGACTGAACTTCAAGTCTCAGGGTTATGTAAAATGGTCTAAAACATGTAATTTAAGACTTTTGAGGAGGTCATGGTCTCAAGTCAAGAGCTCTTGGCTTAGTGTGAGGCGAAAGACAGAGGAAAATAACAACTGTGCTATATTAAGACCTAAATAATGATAATACTGGAAGGGAGGATATCCAGCGCCTTGGTAGAGGCCTTTCGTGATCTGCTTCAATTCCACGGTCTACGAGAACACGCAGAAAATTGGATTTTCAACTCCTAGGAGATCGTGTTTTTTCTTGTTTACAATCATATCGAAGGTCAAATGGTAGCCGAGCAATAGTGGTTATGGACACCTCGACCTCAACAGTGAACCCACTTGCGATTCATTCTCTGCAAATAAAGGAGATAATATTTTTCCTTTTTCATTATACTCTATAGTATGAGGCCTCCTCTGATATGATAAAATACTTACTTTGAGTATCTTTAAATACTCACTGATCACCAGCTTCTTCCGTTCAATTTTCGAATAAATGGAGCTACTTCATCGAGCTTTTCTTATAATACTTTATAAGCTTGAGAAATCCTATAATAATTTCCGGAGGATCTATGCTTAACTTTTAATCACAAGGATAATTGGACTGTATTTTGCAATTTGGAACTAAAAATTTTAGCCCAGTTTAAAAACAACGTATTTGCCATTAGTTTCCCTATGCACATGAGTGTTTTTTTCAGATGAGTCAGACTTTATAGCTCCAAATTGCAAAATGCAGTCCAATTGTTTTCCGAAGTTATTGCACGGGCATGGATCCTAATAAAAGAATAATTGAAAAAAACCGAAATGTTAATGAAAAGTGTGCGGAAAGATTTAATGATAACAAATTGGACGTATTTCTGTCAAACGGAATTATGTGCATTAAGGCATGAGCCCTGAGACACATGAGAACATATGCATGACAGGGCTCACGTCATAATGCACATAGTTCCGTTTGACAGAAATACGTCCAATTGCAATTATTGGGCCATAAAATAATGATAATGTTATGAGTCTTAGTGTAAGACAATATGCAGTATTAGAAACAAGGGAATTTTGGCTTCGATAAATAAAGGTGTGTGAGTTATATACCCTAAAATTGTGATACCATCCCAATTTGTTGTATAAGATGGATATTTTTAAGTACTTTTGGTAGTCCCGCGATTCAAGTTGGGATAGTGCCGCAATTGATTGGAAATGTCCAAATTGGGACTCAAACCCGTATCTTTTTTTCCGTGACTCATCGATGAATATATGCGTGCATCGAGTATCTGAATTGCAACGTTAAAAAAAGAGAACACTTGGTTAGGTATGTTATATTTCCCTCAAGAAATACGCAATTCTGTATCCATACGACAAAAATAATAATGGTTGGAATGCTGAAAATGCTAAATCTTGGAAAGATAGCCTTCGACTTTACACTGGAAAAAAAGTTGCTTGAATCTACAGTGCAGACTCTTAAAAACACTATCGAGAAAAAAACCTCTCGATTCAATCGGAATTTTCGCTAGAATCAAAAAGAAATCTGCCTAAATCAAGAGGCTCGGCTCTTCGATTCAAGGAAAAATCAAATCAAATCAAGAGTATTTTTTCTTGTCAATGTTATTAAGAGTATACATTTCAATGCCAATTTGGCTGGCTTTCACAGAACATGGTAAAAAGATTGAAATAATCAAGCTACAAGCCAAAATAATTAAACAAATAATGTAATTTGTTTAGTTTTTTTGGTTTGTAGCTCGATTATTGCAATCTTTTTACCATGTTATTAAGAATCTGGACACTAGATCCAAGCGACTCTTTTTCCAGTGCACTGGAAAAAAAAACACATTGGATCTAGAGTCCAGACTTTTAATAACATCGACAAGAAAAAGTACTCTTGATTCAATCAGAATCTAGCCTAAATCAAGAATCAGGCCTCTTAACTTAAGCATATTTTGTTTTGATTCAAGCAAAAATCCGATTGAATCAAGAGTATTTTTTCGTGACAAGTGTCAATGTTTTCAAGAGTCTGGACTCTAGATCCAATGTGTTTTTTTTTCCCCAGTGTGTATCATGTATTTGACCCGACTCATAAATAGTTGTGAAAAGCTGGGAAAGAGTAATCACGCAGCACAGTCTCATAAAACAATCGTTGAATGGAACAAGCCTCCCACTGGAGACGATGACCAGAGTTGCGATGCAAAGACAATCGCGAGTCTTATTGATAAGCCTCAGCTTTTAGTGGTCATTTCTTCGAGGATGCTCTATTGTGGACTTTGAGTAATGACAATGGAGAGCCGCGTTGTGTCATGGGCGAGGAGTGAGAATGGGACGTGGATAGGCAGTCGGACAGAAATTGACGGACGAGCAGGGATCCAGAGATGCAAAATCCGAGGGGGAGAGGGAATTGCATTGCAAGCGTGTCCCGGCTCGAGAAATCCGAGGGCCAATAAATGATCAACGCATATTCATAATGGTGCCTGCAAAATCCTCCCGAGAGAACACTGCTGCCATGTGGTTGCATCGAAAGAATAATGATGGTGAATGTGGTCAGTGAAGCTTATTTCGGCGGTTGGATCATAGAGATTAATGTGAAGGCAAAAGTAATGGTCAAAATTTCGACGGTTATTTTTTTTTTCAATCTTGTTGCCTGATAAGCCTTGAGTACGTTCTCCGTTTTGCACTTTTGTTAGGTGCGGAGCCTCGGATGAAGCGATATGCCTTTACATTTGACCGAAATTTGGCTTGTTTTAGATGAATTGCCTTTACATTTGACCGAAATTTGGCTTGTTCTAGATTAATTGCCACATATTCATGCATTTATTTCGATCTCCTTCATAACAATGCATTTGGTAATTTACTTATTCGCTTATAATTGGTGCTCCTTATACAGATTTTTCTCGTGTAAATAATTTAAGTTTTTGGCTTCTTCTTCCTTTACTACTTTTTATATGAATTAGAATGTTGATAGGAATGAG